CTTAACTTTTAATATATACATATTTTTTGTTCATCTATTTTAAATTAAGAGATTAAAAATGTGTGTATTTAAAAAAACTTAACGGAGTAATTAATAGAAGATTAAAAAAAATATAAAGAATGGAGTAAAAAAGTATATAAAAAAACTAAAAAATGAAAATTATATAAAATATTAAAATTGAAGACTAAAAATGAAATTTGCCGTTTTAAAATTTGAATTTGAATGGTAGCAGGCAACTGTACCAAAAAAAAATGGAAGATTAACGAGTCAGACAGCTGGACGCGAGAACAGAGAAGGATTTGCGCGATCGAAATTGCTGGGCTGGCCAAAATGACATCGATTTGGCTATGAAATCTTTTTTTCTTAATTCTTGCATATTGTACTGGTTAAATTTTGGTGTGCCGGCCGATATCTGAAATTTTGAAATTTTGATTGTTACATCGGAATTTAATTGGTATCGTCAAAATTGAACCGAAACAAAATTTTAACTTATTCCATTTCAACTAACCTTCAAAATCAATACATATCAATCATACCAACCGATACGACCGATACGGTACGGTACCAACTACATTGTTTTCATACAAGGTTTTTCATTTTTATCTTTTGGTATCAAGAGAATTGCAAAAAAGGGGGGGAGGATGAAGAATCAGGAGATTTAGACAGCGGTGGTACGAGTAAAATACTCATATAATGATCACGCGAGTCATGCATCCGGCTCAATACAAAATTAAAACTTGATTGATAACGATAATAAAAATTTGATTATTATTACATGTAAATATCTTTAAGTTTATACAATAATAATGAGTATACTTAATTTAATTTAATTATTAAAAATAATAGATAATTTTAATTTTTAATAAATAAAAATTAATATTTTTTATTTAACAAATTCAAATCAATTTAATTTGAAGTCACCAAACACTCTAATTTATTGTCAATAAATAAAATTAGTATAATCACTCAAACACACAGAATTTTTTGTGTAGCCTTAAGGTATGGCCGTGGGCCGATTAACTATGCCCGACATTAGGTTGCGGTTTAAGCAATGCTTTTTGAACTAAATAATTATAAATTATTCTCTAAAGAAAATAAAAAAACAGTACATTTGTGTACATAAAAACATGTGTTAATCAAATTAGGTGCTACAGGTTAATCACAAAATCTAGGAAGAGACCCAAGCGTGTTGTAATCACAGAAAGTGAAAGCCTGTCGTGGCATTTCATTTGGTGTTTTATCATTCAATTGGGCTTTTAACCATTATCATTCATTCAGATATTTCCCAGACATAAGAAGAGAAGAGAGGGAAGAGAAGAAACCTTCATCAAGCTTCAAACTTTCTGATTGGATCCTAATATTTTTCCAGTCACGTAGAGCCCCAACTCAGATTTCACTGTGTCAGAGCAAATAGCAAGGATACGGTTATAGTCATTAATAATAATGTTATAATTAATAAAATTATAAAATATTATTTTTAAAAATATTAATTTTATATAATTTAATTGATAAAAAAAGTAATAATT